CATCCACCTCACCAATCAACTAGAATTTGACTACAAAAATGTATTTTATACCTTCATAATATTTTGACTTCAGTTTGGGGATTCACTATTTTCCCATAGCTGGGACCCTAACAGTTGTCACCACCCAGATCAGAGTGGTCGGGGACCAATACCAATTCAACGGTGGTTGCAGTCTCCTAAAAATCTGCCGATCAGAGGCCTTGCTGCCGGATGTAGTTTATCGTCATACCAGGGAACATCTAGGAGAAGCTAAATTCTAATATAAAACCAAATTGGTAGATAGAGATCCGTAGCAAAAGGTGGTCTATCTAGGAGAAGGATGATGTAAAATCAACTTTTTTAAACTCAAGAATGCCTAAAAATAAAAGTACTGGTCCTTCACACTGGTTAGCAAGGGACGCCGTCCGACAGTGACACACCAGGCCGCGGTAAAAAAGAAATCTGCTACTGGTAAGGAATACATTATTTACATTATTCGGACTATTGTCCTCATCTTTGTCTCCATATTTATTACAAGGTTTCGGCTGTTGTACGCTCCGGCCTTCTTCAAGTGGTTGGAATGTCGAACTGAACCCTTTATTTCGCTCACTGGGGTAGACTGTTCTAGTTCCACGTGCCATGTTTAATGGATGTCAGTTATCTCCTGTTAATTTCCCTCTGAAAGTTCTCCACTGCCTTAACCGTGAAACTCACACTCTTTGGGTCCTGTCACTGGATCTAACCAACGCCTTTATCCACTGTGCCATGTGTACTTGAGGATAGACGGATACTGGTATGGAATAGTCTAGTCAGCCACCTAACCTATCAGCAACAACTAAAAAATCGACTACAAAATCTAAAGTTCTTCAAATAGAAAATAGAACAAATGAGTCAGGATCAGATGATTTCAAGGTACCTTTTTAGAAGAATGCAAGAAAGCAATCCTTGATGTTGTCTGCATGCAAGATGTCTGTCTATTTGTTGATGACGCCATTGCACGCTTAAGATGCAATTTATTTTTGATTGACTACAAGGAGAAAAGATAAGACAGAGTTAGAATATCAATACACAAATCATCAGATATTGCAACAGACAATTTCGTACACAGCCAGAAAGACTAATGGCTGCCGACATTGTTGTCCGCGGCTGTAAGATCCGAGTGATATTAACTTATACCCCAACAGAAAAAAGCGCTGTCTCGGAAAAATAGAAATTCCACACAAGATTGAATAAAATTGTATATTAAAAAACAAACAAACAGGAAACTGTACGAGTGTACATTAGTGGGTATTTTAATGCCAACTCAAGCATTTTAAACGCCACTTCTTATTTCAAACGGAAGCCACAAACAACAATGGAAAATTCTTGCTAAAGTTTTGTTACTCAGAAAGATGCTTCATCCTTAACAGATGGTTTGATCATCCCATAAAACAGCGCATCACATGGCATAGCCCTGATAATGTAACAAAAATATTATTGACTTCAGCATCTCAAATTCTTGGATTAGACAGTTTGTGACAGATGTTAGCGTATCCAACTCCTACTTTGAATCATATCACAAACGATTTGTGACTACGCTGACAACATCAGCAAACAAAATCGCTCGCTTTCGCCCACATAAACCAAACAAAACGCTGAGGTATAATATCCAAGCCCTTAAAAATGAAAGGGTAAATTCAGAATTTACTAATAAAGTAGATTCCAAATTGATGTTAGTAAATTTTGATCAAAACATAGAGGAATAACATGTTACCACATCTTCATTAGCTGAAGCCTGTGAGATCCAAGAAGACCTAACATACACTGGATCAGATACATGAGGCGACGATCCTGAGATGAAAAACTTGATACAAGAATGAAACAAACAGAAGGAAAAATGGAAGGAAAAATACCAAACAAGAAAAAAAAAACTAGTTAATTCTTTGAGAAACCAGAATCTCTGGAAAATTGGAATTTAAATTAATGACGCCAGGCAGCATAAACAGTGTGTTAAAATGCAGGAAAAGCTAAAAATAATACCATACAATCAAAACCTCTACGAATTAAATGTCCTTGTCTAAAAAAAAAAATTACTTTCAATCACATTTGAACGCTGAACACACTATACTTAAGACTAAACACAGAAATAAAACATATAGCAATATTCATCTAATGATTACAAAGTCCGTCTCCAAATATAAACAATAATGAATAAATTCAGTTAGTTATATGCGATGCGTAGGCGATCATGCATCTTTCGATACATGACTGACGAGGCAGATTTTTTTTCCCTCAGTAGGTTGCCATCCAAGGCTATAGAACCCGGTCTGCTATTTACCCATAAGAAGAGTATTATTATACCAAGGGTATTAGCACGTAAGTGAATGTAACGGATTCTACTGGAATTCGAACTCGGCTCGATATATATATATATATATATATATTTATATATATATATATATATATATATATATATATATATTTAATGGACTATGGTTGGCAGTTCAAAGGTGAACCACCCCCTTCGAAGGGGAAAGGAGAACTGTTACTGGACTGTAGCAAGCAGTTGGAAGACAACGATTCTGCTTTCTCTCCTGAGGCCAATATACTGATGGTGATGATGATGATGATGATGATGATGGGCGGGGGGGTCTATGCTGATGACATAGGTATTCACAGTTGGGATAAGAATGGTCATGAACAAAAAAATCAATATTCTCTTCTAAGCATTCCAAGAAACAAGAAACAAGATAAACCATTCCATAACAGAACATATGATCTAGAATTGGAATGGAAACACTGATGGCATATATCCTGAATTAATCATAAAAATTCAGTATTTGGAATTAATAAATATTAAAGATTTCGGCGTATGAATCAGTTTTAACAAATTTAGTATGGGAGATAAGCAAATTGGACACTGAATTAGTTGTACTAGTGTTAGTTTTACCCAATGCCACGAGATGTTGCAAAGCAAAAATATTAATGTTCTTAAATTGTTTCTTCAGATTGAAGCTTTCATACGGATGTCATGCATAGCATCAAACTCTTTCAAAAACATCTAAACTGTTGTAGACAACAGCTTTTCTCAGATCAATTAGCTTCCTTACTGCTCCTTTTTTGCCTTAAAATTTTCCCTTTGCCTCACATGTTCGATCCATAGTATCCTCCGCATCCGTCGATGAAACTACATCTGTCCTTTCATATCCCTTCTTCATCTGTGTTAAAATAATCCAACATTCACTGTCATATAGATTACATAGTATATAATGAGTTCAACACTCTTTTCTTTGCTAACGATGTTTTCCTAATAGGATTCAAGATGAACCTTTCCAAAAAAAGAATCTATAATCTGGAATTGGAATGAAAAGAAGTGACGCCATATATATTGAATCCACCATAAAAATTCAGGATTTGAAATTAGTAAATACTGTTTAGTATTTACTAATACCAAATCCTGAAAAACTGCTCTCATTTAACCTTCAGAGAGAGACTTTTCTCCCTGCCATCATCATGGATGACGCTAGACTCCCGGAAAGCAAAACATTGCGCCTTCTTCGTCTCATGCTTTCAACTACATGGAATCAACAGCTGTATCTACTGCAAGGAAATTTGGGTCACTATGTCGAGTCATAAAATATTTTTCGTCGGCGTTCATCTTGCACATTTACAAATCTACCATTCGCCCATGGATTGAATACTGCAGCCATATCTGGTCTGGTGCTCCTGCTATTCAAATAACTCAGTGTATAGATCAGTTATAACCAACTTAGTATAGTAGATAGGGAAAATGAACATAGAATAAGCTACACTAGGGATAGTTTTGCATAATACCACACATTGCTGTGCCTAGGGAAAGCTAGTCTGAACGAACCAGTTCCTCTTCAGGATGTTTGAATTCAGAGTTTTCCTTCTAGAGTGGTTATCACTTCAAGCCCTGAAGGGTCGAACCCTCTGTTCGGGTATTCGTGCGAAAGTGAACGCAACGAACTCGGCTGGAATTCGAACTCAATTCGCCGATTTCTCGCAATGAGCCGCTAGCTGTTGCACTAGAACATCTCTACGAGTGTCGTTAGTATCATGTAAAACTGCTACCTGCCACGTGGTCGGGTCATCGGCCATTAAACCGATTCTCCCACTTGGCATTTCTGGTGAGCAGGGTGGCTAGACACACAGTATGATTAAAATCAAGATTTGTCAAAAGGTGGGGGAACCGTCTTGTAGCATCAACGGCCGTCTAGGCAAGTGTCAGCAACATAGCTATGTATGCAGTCGGAGCGGCGATGACACGTCATCGTTGACCTAGACTAAAGTCAACGATCAAGGCAGAAGGTGCTACCCTCATCACCACCAATGGAATCAACGGTCATGTGTCCATGAACCATGCCATTTCCACAGAGCCGAATCACTCTAATTTCTCCTGTGTAAGAAGGAAGTTCCTCTAAGGCAGTTTTGTTTTGTCAAGAACCTGCACTCTGTTGAACAGACTCCCACGTGAGTACTTCCCTTAAACCTTCAATGTTGACTTCATCTAGTCAAGAGTTAATCCTTCCTTCATATCCTAATAATCTTCGCCTTCTATCACTTTCTCTCCCATTTATATCGCATACTCCCCCCATTATTACTATTTCAACTGTAAACTTCCACCTTGAGTGACTCTCGAGCCTTGTATTGGTGAAATTCAATAAAATAAATTCGAAATATCGAGATTTGTTAATTATTAAAATAAATTCTAAATAAAAAAAAAGCAATCGTATTATTTTCCCACACTAATGGTGTCCAGGAGATGGCTGGTTGGTTGGTTTTGTTTGGTGGCATATTAACACCTCTATGGGTTATTTAATGCCGAAATCTAAATATTTTTGTACGCAATTTTTATTTTGGAGATAATAATAGCCTTACTATTTAACCCATAGCTGAGTAAAGAAGAGAGAAGAGTTAGATTCGTACCTTTCCCAGTAAGTGAATTTAACTGAAATTGGAACTCGGCTCTCCGTTAACAATTCCGAGCCATTATCCATTACACCACCCGCACATCCAAGCTTACAGCACTTAGTATTCCCAACGGGTCACCCATCTAGGTACTGGCCAGGCACGACGTTTCTTAACTTCGGTGATCGTAGATTAAACGGTGTTTCAGCGTGATATGTCCGTAAGCCCTTCATCTGGGGAGGTAATAGGGTCCACCAGATCTACTTTGACTAAGACACGCGAAGCATGGATGAATATTTCTTCCGCTTTCAACCCAGATATGTGAAGGGCACTGGCCGGGATCTCAGCTGCTCAGCGTCCCTTCGACCACACCCGTTCATGGGTGTGGTCGAATGATTTGCTACTCGGTTTAGTGTTTCTCTTCTAAAGAGTTTTATTTAACCTCTTCCCTGCCAATTAGTTTGGGGAAAACATTTCATTTTCAGACGAATCTTTTTAGTTTGCTTTTATAGTAACTAAGAAACTGAGGGACATTGAAGTACCCTATCGGTGACTAACACCTCTACCACACGTATCATCGGCTAAGAAATGAGAAACCTTGAAGTAACCCGATCGGTAACTAACACCTCTACTACACGTATGATCGGCTAAGAAACTGAGGTACCTTGAAGTACCCGATCGGTGAATAACGCCTGTAACATACGTATGATCAGCTAAGAAACTAAGGTACCTTTAAGTACCCTATCGGTGACGAACACCTCTACCATACGTATGATCAGCTAAGAAACTGAGGCACCTTGAAGTACTCGATCGGTGATTTGTTTGTTTGTTTGGGTTTTATGGCATATCAACCACTGTGGGTCATTTAATGCCAAATCCAGTTTATATATATATGCCAAATATATGAATTTTAAATGCCTATTTTGTATGGAACATTTTTAGCAAGCTAGAGCTTATTTGCTTGCAAACTACAAAATAATCCTAGGTATTTTTTGTTTAAGTCAAGACTTTTCCATTTGATTGTTGATTGTTGATTGTTTTGTTTAACGGCATCTCAACCGAAAATGATTTTGAATGACTTTAAAAGTCAAAAACGTATAGCTGGCAACATTATGGCTTCAAAAATGTACAGCTGACAACATTATGGTTTCAAAAACGTACAGCTGGCAACATTATGGTTTCAAAAACGAATAGCTGGCAACATTATTTTTTACAAAAAAAACTTATAGCTGGCAACATTATTGTTTAAAAAACTTATAGCTAGCAACATTATTGTTTCAAAAACGTACAGCTGGCAACATTATTGTTTCAAAAACGCATAGCTGGCAACATTATTGTTCCAAAAACGGATAGCTGGCAACATTATTTTCCCGAAAACATTATCTGAGGCCTTGCTGTTGGATGTAGTTTATCGCCATACACAGGACGCGGATGTAGTTTATCGCCATACCCAGGACGCGGATGTAGTTTATCGCCATACACAGGACGCGGATGTAGTTTATCGCCATACCCAGGACGCTGATGTAGTTTATCGTCATACCCAGGACGCGGATGTAGTTTATCGTCATACCCAGGACGTCCCGATAGGTGACTAACACCTCTACCACACATATGATCAGCTAAGAAACTGGGGCACACTGAAGTACCCGATCGGTGACTAACACCTCTACCACACGTAGGATCGGCTAAGAAACTAAGGTACCTTGAAGTACCCGATCAGTAACACCTCTACCACACGTATGATCGGCTAAGAAACAGAGACACCTTGAAGTGTTCGAGTGGTGAATAACACATCTACCAGACGTCTGAGTTGACAGCTGAACTCGTTTCAAGCTCAGAAGGGCATAAAATGAATCAAGACCGATGTATAAACATGTCTGTAGGTGTTTGTTTGTTTTTTGTTTTTTTATTTTGTTAATGTTATGATTTCGACATGTTTATTCATCCGTGTCTACGAAAAAACACTTTCGATAAAAACGTATATAAACGTCTATGCCGAGGAAGGGGTCAATATCACGATAACACGACTTGAAAGCTATATTAACTGAGCTTTTTTTTTTTTTTTTTCTTCTTTTATATATAACAATCCATTCCGTGCGAATAACATCTTTACGACGTATAATAAATTTTCTCCGTCGGCAATTATCTTTGTTTATCCTATATTATATAATATTATATATTATATTGGCTAGCCAGTCTCTCCGACAGGTTGGTCATTTCAGCAAAGTTAACAGCGAAGATACCAACCGTTAGTTGAGTCGATCGATACACAATGAAGCAAGTAGCCAAGCCAGGGTCCGCTAGTTGTACTGTTCACTGCTACAACCACTAATCAGAAAAACCAACGAAGATAGAGGAAGTATCTATATATCGTAGACGAGGTTAACGAAATTTTGTATTTATTGGTTTTTCAGACCAGTTCTCCACCTTCGTCATCGATCTGATTGGTTTGCCTGTGGCAAAAGTGTAAAAAGATATAGCTAACATTAATACAGGTACATAAATATAATAGACTGGGAATCTTCAAAGTGTCTATATTGATCTGGGATGAGAATGCAAATTCCGATACGCCATATCGATGTAGTGTAGTGTATAGAAGCCTACTTACTGTTGGAGATGCAGTAATATCCAATGTTCACGATCCCCTACTCAGTGCCCCCACCCTGCCACACTGGCAGGCGAGGTGAATAGTAATGGTAAATTCTGCTGAGGAAGCATCTATTTATGTTTATACACAGATTATGGATGTAAGCATAAATACATATATTGGATTAGGTTGGCACAAGGTTACTAAAATATAGTTATTTCGCAGACTTTCCTTAGAGCACTTTTATAAGAAGGGAGTTTAGCCTGGCACAAGGCTACTATATAAAGAGAGTTATAATACAGGTTTTCCTTAGTACACGCGCATAAGACAGTTTAGCCTGACACAAGGCCACTATATAGAGAGTTATTTTGAAAGCTTTACGTAGTACACTTATATAAGAAAAAGCGTTCACCCTGGCACAAGGCGACCATATAAAGAGTTATCATGTAGGTTTTCCTTAGTGCACTCGCATGATAGTTTAGCCTGACACAAGGCCACCATATATAAAGTTATTTTGTAAGCTTTAATTAGTACACTTGTATAAGAAAAAGAGGGTTCAGCCTGGCACAAGGACACTTGCATAGAGAGTTATTATGTAGGACTTCCTTTTAGTTTAGCCTGGCACAAGGCCACTATATATAAAGTTATTTTGTAAGCTTTACGTAGTACACTTGTATAAGAAAAAGAGAGTTCAGCCTGGAACAAGGGCACTTGTATAGAGAGTTATGTAGGATTTCCTTAGTAAAATCACATAAAAGAATTTAGCCTGGCACAAGGCCTTTATATAGAAAGTTATTTTGTAAGCTTTACGTAGTACACTTGTATAAGAAAAAAGAGAAAGGTATTTAGTCTAGCACAAGGCCACTATATCTAGGGTTATTGTTACTTTAGTACGATTTGTATAAGAAAAAAGAAAGATGAACTTAGTCTGGCACAAGGTCTCTACATATAGGCTGACCGTAATACATACATATTAGAAAAAAGAGAAAGAAATAATGTCACTATGTTTACTAGGATTACTCTAGTACCTTTTTATTATCAAAACGATGAATGGGTTTAGACTGGCACAAGGCCACTATATAGAGAGTTATTTACCTTAAAAGCTTTTATAAGTAAAAGTGAAATAAATACAGTTTGGTACAAGGTCACTATTTAGTAGGATTACCTATATATTTAATAATTTACTCTGTTAGTGACTCCTAGCTTTGGTAGTTTCAAACTAATTTTAAGCTCAATCAGAATGGGTCATCCCGTCAGGCAGTACCATCCCTTCGGGAGTGGTCTTAGATCATTAACCAGCACCTGAGAGGTCCCCAAAAGGGGAAGTGCTGAAGGGTCTTGAGCTATTTTCCCATGGTTTTGTCGTTAAACTCACTTTAAATTGACCTTGTGCCACATTCGGTCTGGAGGTTGGCCCACTGGAAATTTCACTTAGTGTCATTGTATAACAAGAACTTTTTAAAATCTCTCTCTCCCCCTCTCTCTACGCCTCTTTCCTCACCTCTCTCTCTCCCTTCTCTCTCTCCTCACTCTCCTCTCCCTCTCACCTCTTTCCCTGTCTCTCTACCCCCTCTCTCTTTACTTTGTTTTTTACTCTCTTTTTTTTCTCTTGGTCTCCATTTCCGCATTCTCCTTTTTGCTTTGCTTCGGAATGAATTCATTATTTTTTCCTTTCTTTTTCATTTGTTCAAATATGTCGACGCGATCGCTCTACCCTTTCTATTTGCTCTTACCGTCTTCTTTCTCTCCATCTTCCAATCAATAAAGATATTTTAGAAGGCCTGATATGTGCACGTAAGTGCGTCAGTAACAGCATCCCCTAATGAGGAAAGATAACAAGTATCTTTTTTTTCAACATAATCTCCTTCCTTGTTAATGCACTTATCACAATCCATCTCCATTAAACATCTAACTTGAACATCATCCAATGAAAATTTCAATTCAAAATTAGAACTACTTAAATAGACTGGTCCACTCATAAAAAATTAAGGGAAAATTGGAGGATGATAATCTTTACACTTTAGCATTCTTTAAACATTTCTTAGGCCACGACAGTTCTTACAATCGAAAAATATTGGTTTTATATCGATTTAGGCGGGGGATATTTTTATAATATTGAGATAGTATGAAATCGATCCCCAACAGGTGAGATAATAAGATAAAAAGTATTAAATAATGATAATAATAATAATTACAGCATGGATCACTGAAGGTATTATATATCACCTACCAAAAACGGGCGAAATAGATGATCCATAAAATTATAGACCAATAACATGTCGGCCTACCACATATAAATTAATTACGTCTGACTGTAATTACTCTTTTCTCAATGAAAACAACATTCTCCACCTTGAACTGAAAGGATAGCAAAGAGGCTCATATTTTTGTAACGATCGAATACTGATAAATAAAATAAACCTGGAAAATTGCAGGTAAAATGTTAGAAGTCTCAGCACAGTTTGGATAAATTATCGTAAAGCCTTTGATAATGTGCGACACTCTTGTGTCCTTAAGTCATTAAAAATACACAGTCTCAGTGTTGATAATAATTCCTTAGATTTTCTTAGATATAACATGAGAATGCGAAAAGTCACATTATACCTAAACCACACTAAAGGCACTGCCACTTCCAAA